AGTTCTTTACGTCGCTGTTCAGAGGCCAACTGTTCTTGGTCAGTAAACGTTCTACATCCAGCCCCACCCGTGCAAATCTTCGTCTTAAAATCGATCATAATAGTTTTCGTAATCGTAATATATCGAGTATATACGAGTAGTATTATTAGTATCACTTTACCTTGTTGCAGTTGTTGGATATGGTACTTCAAATAGTTGATAACTTCTTTTTTCACTTTTCTGATGTTTTAGGCCAAATGTCAGTCAATTTTTAATAATGCGACGTGCTGCTTCTGGAGCAGTGATAATGCGACTGGCTTGGTAGTAAAGCGTTATTTGTTTACTCGGCATTGTTGATGACGTCATTTCTTGAAGACAATGACTAATCACAAATTTTTATAGTTGATACAATCAATGTGTATGTTCACATTTCATGTTGTCATGGCAACGGCTATGAAGATGACTGCTTTCTGAGTTGTTGCAAGTTGTTGCACCATGTAGTCTAGTAGATGCTTACCGATATTACAAATCCATTGATTAGTGTTATTCTTATTATTTTGGTACCTCATGCAGATGCCTCTATAACAGCCTATAATACATTCATGTATAAGGGCATCCATACCTGCACATTGTAATGATGAGAAGTAGATCCCTCCATAACAGCCCAATATAATGGTCTCCACACTAGACCATTATAATGTCTACACTATAAAGGCTTCCATAATAGTCCCTTGCAATTGTAAAAAAGAGGCCTTCATAACTGCCCATTATAATGGCTACATAGAAGCCTCCATAACAGCCCATTATGACTGCTATGTATATAGAAGCCTCCATACAAGCCAATTCCATGCTAGCCTAGTGTTACAGAAACAAGAACTCCGTAACAGTGTAACATGGTGTGTATTGTGGTATGGTGTAGTGCATCTTGTGTGGTTTGGCAAGTTATGTGGCATGGTTTGGTGTGTTTATGTCATGCAATGTGTTGCCACGTGTATGATGTCTTTTACAGTGTGTGGCATAGCATGTGGTATGACACTGTTTGGTGTGTGTACGTGATGTGGTATCTGATGATTGTGAATTATGTATTGTGGTGTGTGGTGTGGCATGTGGGATGAAGTGCCATGGCACAGTGTGGTGTGGTCACTTCACTCACTGGTAGCAGAGGGAAATGGAAAAGACATGAAGAAGCAATTAAAATATTTTAATTCATTGTGTCTTACTCCTGATGCTGATTTGTGCATAATTCCAATTGGCTGGTTTTTTACAGGTATTCTTAGCTTTGGCCTTTTAAATCATGCAGTTTGCCATTCAATGGAGAACAGAAGAGTTTAATAGCCTGTGTGTCATTATGCAGTGTTAATTTCTCCAGTACAATTTAAGAAACAGAACAGTAGGGACAAAATAATCTATTATAATGTATAACATTTTGTGTTCTATTATTACCCTGACAAACAATATTTAATTGATGGCATAAACATCTGAAAGTTTATATCCACTGCCTGAACTGAATCCATCACCACCAGAAAATCAACATTCTTTGACTATTTACAGTGCATTTAAACCTGTGTTTCAAAGTTAAGAAACATGGTATTAGGCCCAGAGTATATTTTTTGATTTTCTTTTTATCAGAAAAAGCAGTGACTGTTTTCTTATTTTATCAGTGACCAACAGATATTTTTAAAAGGTTAAGTGTGTTCCTTGAGGGTAAATGCCAAAAGTCTGAGCTACATGTAGATTATTTTTTTAATCTTCAAGTGTTAAGAAGTTATTTAAATTGTGTGGGCTGGCTGTAATACAGACTTAACTGAAATGGCTGAATATGAAATTTTGGGCAAGATTGCTGCATCATAATGTATGACTCAAGCCCTATATGCCTCTGAAACATACATGAAGTAATATGAATTTCCTTCTGATATACAAATTGAATATGGGAAGCATTATTTATTTAAATTAATCAGCTTCTTGTGCATGCTCCTTCATGTAAAGGCATGTATTATACATAAACCATTACATTTTTCCTTACTGTGATTCAATGTGGCATTTGGAATTTACAATCTAGTTAATTTATTTGTAATATGTGGGTTATTCCATCTTCCTCTGAATGGACAGACTTATCAGTTTTAATTATAAATTTTTTGTTTCCTGTAACTGTTAAAAACGTCAGCCAGTTATAAGCTAATCAGTGTAAATCTACGAGTTTATTTAGATGTAATTGCTTAACATCTCACTGACTGTCCATTTTATTGTAACAGTTGAATCTGTATTTGTTATACACCCCAGTCTTTATATTCAAATTTATAAAGATGCCTTGTATATTAATATTTAATTATTCCATTACTATTCTTGTCTATATAGTAATCAATTCATAGCCTTTTTTAGTGGCTTCAGCTACACAAGATTTGTGTCAAAGCATAAAATTTTAAAATCCCCTGTAAATTTAAAATCTATCCAGTATGCCTAGTAGGCATACTTGTAAGTGATACTTCATTCACATATTGAGTTAAGTTCTCTATACAAAAGACTATCCATCTAACTGTAGGTTACTTGTGTATTATGGAGCGCACTTAACCTCTTGCTTAACAGTCCAATATATAATGAATTCAGACAATGGATTCCATAGTCATACTCAACAAACTATATTTTGCTTTGACTATTTTAATTATCAGTGTTAATTTTATACCAAAATGCTGCATAAACTATTATTATTATTACTACTACTACTACTATTACTATTATTTGACCACTAGAAGACTATCAACACCAAGAAAATATAATTTTCATGAACACAATTGGCATATCCTCTCAGAAGCATCAGTGACCCTCTTATCTTTTGCCAGTCACAATTTCATTCAAGAGCATAGCTAGAACTTGAAGTTCAGAAGCTTTTTCAGACACAATCCAAATTTTATAGAATATCATCAGTGCCCGACATTTTAAAAGTGAATTATCTACAAGGGACTTGGAAGGATCCCTTGTATGTATTATCCAAGGCACACATGAAATTTAATAAATACTAGTTCTCTCTTGATATATCTGGAGAACTGTTCAGAATGACGATTCCTCTTATGCACGTATGTCTGAAGCATTTTCATGTAAGTGGAAAAGAACTGTGGCATACAAGAGAAAATTCTGACTTAGAGAGGCAAAATAAAATAAAGCCATTGTCTTTCTTCCTCCCATCCTATTTATGATATCCCTACTCTTCATTTTTCCTCCTGCATTTACATATACATTTTCAGTATTTAAAGAAGCAATCTCCTCCTTTTCCGGGCATATTTCTGCAGTATACAGCAGTCTGTCTAACACTTTACATTATATTTTAATTTCTACATAAGGTGGTATTTAAGTATGTCATGACCATTGATAAACTAAAACTGCATAACTGAATACATAATATAGGTAATGAAAATAGCTGTGCTAATTTTTAAATAAATAAAGGACCATGTGCACTTCTACTTTTCTCCGTAACAAATCAAATTGCGTTGCTGAAATGGAGATACCATTGTTTTGGATATAGAAGCACTAACATTTTTCTGAAAGTGTTTCATGTATATATAATATCATATACAGAGCGAGGAAAGTGATCAGCCACAAATGCCTGCAGTTTCTCAGAACGGGTGACTGATGTGTACCGAGACAGTGGAAATGTGCGGCACACAGCGTCAGTCAAAGAGCGAAGTACAGGTGTCAAATCAGTTTCCTAGAAAAAACAAGCATTGGTTTGCATAAACAGTACACACAAAACATTTTTATATTATACACCTACATAACATAAATGTTACAAAATGTGTTTTAAAAAGAATGCTATAGCAAGTAATGGAAATATTAATTTATAATTTTCCTATACCAAAAGTAAAATGTCACTGAAAAATGTGGTTACTTGACCACTTAGTTAGTATTCCTGCATCTTATTCCGGATACCTTTGGTGTACACCTCAGCACAGAGAATAGCTATCCTGACAAAAGTTTTCCATGTTTTACCTCTGCTCCTTCAGGAAAATGCCAGGATTTTATCTTAAATTAAATCATGACTGCTCCTTCCACATCCTCTCCAGCCATTTTTCACTAGTCATCTTATCATTTGACACTGATCTGACCCACTGAAATTTTCCTTAGATAAACCAATAATAAATAAAATAGTAAGGTGTAAACCTCAAATAGCTTCTGAGATATCATCAACAGTATTTTTGTTGCAGAGTCTACATCATGCTTTCAACCACTATCTGAGAAGTGTCACTTACAGACAGACATTTCAAACAGCCAAAATAAAAATAAATGGCACCTTAGAGCCAACTGTCAACTTTTGTTGTTTAATAGTATCTTTTTCTTTTCTGATTATTCTCTCAGATTTCTCACGGTTACTCAATCCTAATTACCAAACTGCAGTTTGATTTAAATGCCCCGTTTGTCAAGGAAGGTGTTTATAAAAAGCTTATTGCAGTTTTCTGATGGCAGGTATATCAACATACTTCTCCTTTTGTGTATGTTTGTAAACTTCGAACTGACTGTTCAAAATAATCCTCTCCATACTCAGCTCGTGCTTCATAGCTCATTGATTTCCACATATCCCTAGCTTGTGCCAGCAATACTTCATCTGTAAACCATGTATTTCCTAAAAAGAAAAAAACTGTGCTTTTAAATATGTAAATAACATTAAAGGTAATAAGAAGTTATTACCAGAAAAATACTGTATGGAGTATTTTAATTGAAACCGGCAAAAAATAAAAGAACTGTTACCACTACAGTGACCACTAAAATTCAAAGGAAAACACATGTATGTTAGTAATGTGCACCGGCACCATGACGGAAAGAATACAGGTAAAGAGGAGACAAGGCCTCCAAACATATTAACGTCAGCATTAGCTGGAGGTAAGTATGCAGTGTCAAGCTATGACCACTTTACCTCTGGGGAAACATCCCCAGAATCTATTGTACAAGAGGCTGGGTGAGTCCCAGAGGCAATATGGATATGGTGGCAAAAAAAACAACTCCTGCTTCTGCCAATCATTTTAATGACTGTGCCACTTTGGCTCTTTCATGTTGTATTCATATACATAAATTATATAAATGTTTTTCTCACCGGTGGTATAGTCACCAGGTTCAACTACAATGACATCCACTCCCCAACGTCGCATTTCCAGTCGGAGGCAATCACTGAAAGCTTCCACTCCAAACTTCACTGTACAGTATGGAGAACGGAGAGGTGATGCAATACGGCCAAGAATACTTACAATATTTATTATGCGACCTATAAAAGGAATTAACAACAATAATAAAATTGGCAATAAGCTGGGTCATGATAATACTCTGTAGCATTGATGAAACATAAGCTTGAAATGTACCTTCAATTCATGTATTTTAATCACTGGATAAATATACATAGTATCAGGGATTCCAAAATTAGATAAATGTCAATTTAACATATCACGTGGGTATTGAAGCTGTCCCCTAAAACCCCACTGCATTTTAATTTAAAAATGTAAGTGTTTGATGTATATAGCAACCAAAAATTTAGAGAAGACTGTGGAAGGAAATTAACTGGTTCCAGTGGTGGTCTTTGCACTACATTAATGAACCTTTGGGTTCCTTAGCAAGCAGGGTTTTTTTTGTGAGGTATGATGTTTCACAGCAGTGAAGGTTGTAATCTTGCTGGGTTATGACACTATGTACTCTCATAGGCTGTCATCACCATTTTGGGTTGCTCCCATATTCAGCATACCATACGTCATTAAGTTAGTTTAGATTCCTCGGATATACTGAAATATCAGCCATTATGATTAAGAGTCTGATACACCTCACATTACACAATCTGTTACCTTTGTCGAGAGGAATGAGAGGGAAACTATCTGTGATGACAAAGCCAGTCTCATACCTGAGACTCTTTACCTAAACCACCAGTTTGCAGTTTATTTGTATTTTTCAGGGTCTCTAAACTACTGGAGACACTGCCATACCAGCATAGATTATGCACAATACTTTGTGGAAACTGAAAATTGTATGAATTTTTATGGTTTTCATAGTAACAAAATTTCCCTATTTACTGCGCACAATTCAATGGTGATATCTGTCAGTACCTCCTTGCCTTCATTATTGGAACTATAATTACAGAAAAATATGTAAGACAAAACATTTTAATGGAAATTGCATAACTGTTTCTATATACTGGGAACGACCCATTCTTCAAGTGCCTCAGCAACTTTTTCGTTGGCTTGATCTATAGACATTTGGTAGGAATCCTTGGACGAGGGATCAGCCCGTTGCAAGGCCTCTACCTATACACAGGACAGCACAACACAGAAAAACGCGGACAAACATCCATGGCTTGAGTGGGATTCGAACCCACGGTCCCAGCGACCAAGCTGCACAAGGCCCACGCCTCAGACTGCGCGGCCACTGTGGACCCCCTGTTTTTATATATTTAACATTACTAACCTTTGGTTCTGCGAACAAGTGGTAAGAAAACTTGAGTGATCCTGATTACACTGAGGAGGTTCACGTCTGTAGACTGTTTGTATACATCAAATGGTACCCATTCAACCTCACCAAAGGAGGCCCATGTTGCACTGTTCACTACAGCCCAAAGACCTGTGGAATATGAAGAAACATTAATATTAATATATATTCATATATTTAGTAATGTTCTTGAAATGATATATTCTGTAAAAGTTATTAATTTGTTTCCCAATATACTTACCACCCCAATAGAAACACCTAATAACAGACATTACATAAGAAAATAGATAATAATACACACAATCATGTCCACTGAAATTTCTCTCAAAATTGCACATTACTTTTATTAAAAGATAAAATGAAGAATAGATGTATCATATTTGCATGTTTTTTCTAGGATTACAATTGCAGTAATGCAATACATTTATTAATACTTTGTAATATTTCATTGCATCCTTACATTATGAAACAGAAAATGCAGTGCTTGAAGTGTGGTGGAAGTGCCTTGCCATCCAGTAACTATACATCATTTTTTACATAAAATCATATCATAAGTTAGTATAAAAGCATTAATTTTTTTAAAATTTCTCGAGACATTTCTTTTCTACCCTTCTTTATTTGATTCTTTTTCCCTTTTTTTTCTAACATTATTTCCATTTTATACAGGCTGATGGTCTACCATTCTCTGTTTCCATCAAAAGTCCTTTGATTATTAAACAAAGTGCTCTGGGTCAAGTGGATGTATCTATGATTTGTATAGCATGTGATTCAGGTATGTAAATTTCTCCCTGTCTTATAAGGGTGGAAACTTGTGCTGGATGAGAACACACTCCTTGCATGTGGAATCCACTTTGCACAGATATTCTACTTTACCAGGTGTTTCTTAACCTTTTGAAGCTGAAGCTTGTCTAAATTGTATTTAAGAATTCAATTTGTTCCACAAAGAAAATACAACACTTCACCATTACAAAAATCAATGCTGTTCAAGGAAATAATCTCTATTTACACTGAGAATCATGCAAAATAAATACAAAATGGAGAATTATTGATTGCTGAAATTGGTTAGACATATAGTTACCACTGAGCTATAGATACAAACACATTTGATGGTAAGACTTCTATTTCAGCTGCAATCACTATACATGAAATACATGCTCCAAGTGTGTCATATCAGAGTCAGTTTTTATAGCCTCACTGAAGGGACAGAAGAGGCTTATGCTGTATCTTTCTGCCTGGTATTAATGGCCTTTGTCCTCCAAACATTTTCAATAATTCATGAATCCGTAGCCCTTTATTCAACAGGCAATGATATTAATGTGTCATTTTTCACAACAACTTGATCACTGTCATCAAATCTGAAAATGAAACTCATGTTTTCTGTCTACCACTCAATACCAGCAACTGTCTACCTACTACATATAGCCGATGCTAACAAAACACCTGCAGAAAGTTCACTCGCACAAACCATTACACTGTGCCACTGGCATCCATGAAACTTTCGAAATTACCCCATATTCTGCTAACAGTAGACACCTTTCCTGTAATGACCAGGGGTTACAAACAACTATTTTCATATGTACTATACAAATGAAGAAACTCAACATTTAAAACACTATGTATTCCTACAACCTTACACTCTTCTAATTTTCCTCCACTTCAAACATTGCAGTAATTTGGTTCTCTGTTTCATTGTCATTCCTTTCCAATTTACCAGATGTTCCATGAGGCAAGTTCTCCTTCACATAAGCTGCAGCTGCTAATATCTGTTTCTCTGATGTCACATCTAACTGCAAAATATGCAGACGTCCTGAAGAGTCCTTCTTCAGCTTTTTTGCACTTTCACTTCCTCTATCCTTGTCTTGGAAGCCAGCAAACACTGTGAATCCCTAGAACAAAGGGTAAACCTGCAAACTATAGCCATTAATCTACTGCAAACTAATTTTACAGAAGCAATAGATTGCAGTTTGAACCAACAGAATTTGTATTTCATGTTTTCATACAAATTTAAGGTGAAAATAAGTGTAGAAGACAGAATAAATCAGAGCTGGAAGTGGGTATCTTAGCTCATTTGCAGAACAGAAATGTTGAGTCCCTGATATAAAATGTAATATGAGTGACATGTTAATCAGTGGAAGGTTCTCAATAAAATATGTTTGGAAATTACAACCTAATTTAATGTTTTACATTTTCTTCCCATTCAAGAACTGGATGGACAGTTTCCTAAAACAGCAGAGAATAAAAAAAATTCAAATAATCACTGAGACTTATCTATTATATAACCCAAATTCAGTAAAAATATATGAATTGGAATAGCTCAGTTAGTAAAGTAACTGCTTACAAGTTGGACAACTGCAGTTCAATTCCTGGCAGACAATGTACAGAGTGTCTCTGGACCTCTTCCAGTCTTCTATCCAATGGGTTGTTTTCCAGGAGTAAGATCCTTTCCATAATTTTAATAACCTTTAACATACAGCAATTACACTGGATGCAAGGGAAATCAGAGTTCTGCATGACAGTGATAGGTGGGATTATTTATTCTATGCAAGATCTCATCTTTTTTTTCAGAGGTCTGAAACTTTACAAATTTGCTATTACTTTTTTTTGGGAAGATAACTAAATTTTCTGTGTAATATCACGCATTTGACAGCATTTACAAAGACATTAGCCCTTCTGTCCTTTAAATGGCACAATTTACGCTCCACCAAACTTATTTAAATGGCTAAAACTACTTGGAAAAGGCCAATGTGTCTAAGCTGTAATATTCCCATTTAGTCACTGATTTATTGTACTTTAAATCATGCTTTTGTATCTGAACAATGCAGGTTAGATTAACTGTTAAGATAATAGTGTCATTAGTAGACATGAGAAGAACTGCTTAAGAGGGCTGTATAAACAATTTGCACTCTGCTTAACAAACTAGTCAACCATTTCATCATTATCAACATTAATTAAAAGGATTGTTTTCATATGCCTTTTTTACTTCCAAAGGTTTGTTTCACTACTATTAGTAATTCTTTTAATA